CCAATAACTGTGCTTTGGCTTCTTGAAAAAGAGCGAACCAACTAAACCAAACAAAGCCAAACCAAGCCAAACCATACAAAGCAGAGTTCCCCCCCAGGCCACACCAGATGGTAAGTGGGCAGGTCGCTTGCTCGAGCACTTCCATGCAGAGAACCAGGCGTCAAGGCGGGCTGAGACAGCTTCAATCAGTCAACCTGATGGTTTGGATTGTTTTGGATTCGGACTTGAAGCCCCGGACCAAAGCCCGGAAGTCGGCGCTCCAAACTTGGGAAGCTGATTTACAGGGAAACCCAAAAGAAGCCACGCCTAAATGGGGTTCGGCTTTTTCGGAAAAGAAACGAAGGTCCGAAGTCAGAAGATGTGATACTCTGGCTTGGGGCACTCTTCTTGTTCAAAGTCGAATGACTGGGCTCCCAAATGCTCGGAGACATAGATCCCAAAGTGATGTCCACCATTTCGAGGCAGTTAAACTTCACCAAATCGGAACGGTGCCCGGGGAGAATCGGAAAAACAAGCACAGAAGAGGCCGGACAAGCGGGTGCACAGGTAAGGAGGGCTATGGGGGTGGGGCTATCCCTGGATTCCAAGTGCCTCCTGAGGGTCCATGAGCAGAGGGTTTGAACAAACCCGGCGCAACGCGAAACTTTTTGCTTGGCGCCCACCCCGCCCCGCCCCCCGCCCCACCCCACCCCGCCACCCCCCACCCCCGCCACCCCCCACCTTGTTGGCCCCTCCAACGCACCCGACCGCACGTGAGGCCAGAGTACGAGACCAAGGCCGCCCAGCTTCGGGAGCACTGCAGCCCCTCGGCGCGGGTTGCGGTCTGTGAGTTGCGTTTGGGGGTCCCGTCTTGTTTCAAACAAAACCCAAAGGACCACCCAGAGGAAAGCCGCAAAGCCCAAAGGAAAAGCGGAAGGCAATTTGCAATCCCGTTTGGGGGGGTCCAATTTGGACTCGCCGACAGAGAGACCTCATTGGACCCCAAGAGAGACCGGCAGAAGGAAACTCGTTTGGAAGCATAGAGGTCCCCGTGGGTTTGGTCGATGGATGCATGAGTTTAGTTCGGACATGATTTACCAGTACCCGTTTCTTTTTCTGCTTTCGGATACCTAGAGACCAAATATTAAATATGCTCGGAAAGCAGTAGGCAACACCTGAACAGTTTTGAGTGGGGACAAGAGTTGCACGGTCCGGAGTCTTTTAGACTCGCAAAGACAAATGTGCAGTAAGGGAATATGCGGCTGGTTTGATGCAGTTGCGTCCCTATTATGTTCATTAGATTTGCGCTCGGTGATCCGATGCTTAAGTGACATCTGACAGATGAGCTTCGGGCAGAAGCGTTTTCCACGGCGGCAAATGTGGGGAGCGCCAAAAGGGGTGCTCGACAGTGCTTCATGGCTCAACCTGGGCTCAGATGCTCGGAACAAGACCCAAGCCAGGCACAGGGTGCAACATTCAGTTGAGAGAACGCCGCATCAAGAGGTCGCCCAAAAACGGGGACGGTATCTTTGCAAAGGGAACTACCCCAGCGAAGCAGATGAATTTCAAGCGGATGGCTGGAACCGCCATGCCAGCCTTCAGAGTGGTCGTCAACCACCAAGTGTTGGCATGAGACATGGTGAAAGGTGTTACCATGATGCAACTTGCCGGCTACATATACCACATCAACAGCTTTGTCTTGAGAGAGGTGTGAAACCGCCACCCCATCAAACATAGTGGCATGTTTGCTGACCGGCGTTGCGTTTTCTTTGGGTTCTGGCAATGCAAGTTGAGCAGTCGCGCCAGCGATCAAGCAAACCTCCGAGGCAAGCAGATCCCTGGCTACACAGGCCTTGTGCTTAAACTCCTGCCACTCTGAATCAGATTTGGCGACTGGACAATTTGTTCAACTACCAGGACTGCGCTACTCAATATGGGTGTGGTTCTTTTTGACGTACTCTTCTGGATGGTTTCAAAGGGAAACGCAAAGCAAAGTCAACTTTTCTGGGAGTCCAACCTTAAGACACACCATCGAGATCAGCCAGTCTATACGTGCCAGTGCCAGGCTCCAAGGCCCTTTTAGTGGCAATGGTTGCCAGACATTCATCAATGGCACCGGTTTTGAGATATCGACTTGGCCTGTCCTTCCGCTTGCTCGAAGGGTGCTTGGCAACAAGGGTCTTTGTGGATGGGTTTGACATATCCTTCAAGACAGGCTCGAAGAATGTGAGCCTCTCTCGCCCGAGCTGGGCACTTCGAACTCCGTTTTGAGGCCACGTGCCCCGGGTGCAAGGGGACAGCATCTACGGCGCCACTGCCCGGGCTGCCAACTTGCGGGAGCGCCCAGCGAGGAGTTTTAAGAGTTGGAAGATCAAACAGTGGTTCCCTCCATTTCCCCTTTTGGGACCACCAAAAGTCGCAGTTCTAGTGGAGAGGGGGAACTCCAGTGACCCCTGTCCAAAAGGATGGGTGGATAGCACCCCCCTCCCTCCCTCCCACCAACTAACAGACTGACATGGAAGCCAACACCTTAATTTAAGGGGAGCCTCCTGTGGGGTCCCCCAAGAGCAGTGGCACGCTAACCTCACTGCAACTGAGGGTTGCTGCAGATCTCATCGAGGAGCGGCTGAGCATTCGGAGCGGCCTTATACCATCGGAGCTTCATTTGCCTTGGCTCCCAGCGAATCGTCCGGTTCCTTCAGTTTTTAGTTGTTTTTAGTTGGTTTAGTGGTTGGGTTTCCATTTCAGCCACGAAAAGTTAAACTCACGTTTAGCAGGGGATCAGAACACGGACAGTCCAGTTGCCCTGCCGCTGCTGACCACTCCAGACTTTGGTTCCTGCGCCTCACGCTTGGCAGGACAGGATCTTCAACCCAGCGAACCACATCAATACGCCTGGCGCTTGGACGGAGATCTGGTGCCGCGAGCAGCTGGCGCGACCAATTTTTGCAGATTCGCCTCTTTCGTTCGGGCAAGACCCGCCATGTCATCATATGGCTTCAACACCTCCGAAGACATCCACGGGTACTGTACGGCAGCTTTGTCATCAGACACCACCTTGCCATGCGCGGTGGTAAATGGTAGTTGGGTAGGCGACAAAAGCCCAACCTCAGTTGTAAATGGTAGTTTGGAGGGTACTGTTGACCCCGGATTAATAAACCCCTGGTTGATAAATAGGGTGTTGTCTCCTTGTAGTGGGAATTCCTCACTTTTGGACTGAGCACCCCCCTAAGACTGGAACGGGTTTATGAATCCTGGGTCAACAGGCGACAAAAAGACCCAAGGGCCAGCCCAACTCTTCACGAAGCCCGCGGCTCCGCTTTGGCTTCGCTCGCCTTGCTCCGCGAGGGTGTGCGCTCCACAGGCTCCGAGTGTGCGCCGGGGATCCCAGGTGAAGGGAACAGCTGAGGCTTTGAGAAAGTAGAGCAGTCGTCATCTCAACCAACCAAGCCTTGGGCTACAAGGGTTGGTTTATCAACCAACCAAGCCTTCTTGGGCTACATAAAAAAAAGGGTTGATTCAGAAGTTGGGTTGCAATCTTGTGCAATCTCCGAATGATTCGGTGAAGGAGTCACCAAGATGTTACTATTTTGTGGAGGATGTGAAAAGCCATTCTTGGCTTGTTTCGTTTTTTACACGAAGTTTGGCAAATTCTAATTCTCACATCCTTTTGCTCAGAGTTATCGCCAGGTTGTCAGACTTTTGTTGACGACCCAACTGGCAGTGCAACGACCGAGAAGTGAAGTGCGGCTTGCCAAATGCCGGGGGAAACGCCAACAGCAGCGATGGAATGCGTTAAAGCATGGCCCGGCAATTGCACTTGTTGAGGCACACAAACGTGCAACATCGTTTCCAAGCGCAGCCCTTAGGTGTTGTTCTAGCGGAAAACCCAAAGACAAGCCACCTGCACGGAGCTTTGAGACGCGTTTATCGAGCTAGAAACGTTTGCTGAGTTTCTGCCATGCCTTTTGGGACGCCTTGATCCCAAGGCAAGCTGCGCATCTGATTCCAAAGGAGGTGAGCCAGTTTCACAGCGTGGACGCTTGCACTGCACATTGGGGCGTTTTACATGCGGGTGTCTTCGTCTGTCTCATTGCCTAGCATGCTGGATGGTGCAGACCGTGCAGGACTGGTGTTCAGCACCAGATGTTATATCCCCCTGCTTCTTGGGCATGTTTCGTCGACGCTTTTTTGAAGCGTTTGACTCCTGAGACGGAATGCGCCTTTTCTGGCTACTTCTTTTTGCACGTGCCTTGCGTGCAGTGCGAGTCAAGCCCTTTTTCACAGGACATTCTCGCCTGATCTCTGAATTTTAATAGGGACTTCCCTCCGAAGTGGTTGGTGGACATGGATCCCCACCGAAATCATGTCCACCATTTCGGGTCCCCAATTAAAATTCAGACCCATATTTTGCATTGGTGGAAGAAAATCATATCCGTCTCACCGCGACAGTCGGCGGGGAGGGCTTTCAGGAGCCCTTGCCTTCATCCGACCGAGGCACTCGTGAAACGATGCAGGGGGTCAGACACGCATTCTTGACAAATTGCTCCATTTCCAGCAGTGTTCTTTGTCGTAGATGCAGGGGCAGAACGTATTGGGGTACTCGAACGCGCGGAATGTTGCAGAGCTTCCACATAGCGTCGTTGAACAAAGTCTGTAAGGATGGCTGAAGGGAATCCCTTGCAGTGCTTTGAGGCAGAGAGGACGGCTTGGCTTTCGTAGCCACATTTTGAGTCTTGAGTTGTTATCGTCATGGACGATCTTTGTTGGTGTCCCTTTGCAAGAACGAAAGATCTCTATCAAGGCAGGCGCCGGTTTGACCTGGGAGTAAACAGAATCCAGGTTTCGCGTCTTGCGCTTGTGGCTTCAATGCTGCCGCCTTGTTCCACCACTTGATGTTCCCGCTCTTGGATCTTCTTGCTTGCTGGTGCGATAGGTAGGGAATGGGAGAATGAACCTAGGGGTCCCCTTAAGGAAAGCCCACCAGTGGGATGTTTTTTCTCGGGGCTGGTTCACCTGTCGGCTCTCAGCCCCCGGGCGCGCGTTCCGGGCGTTCCGCCGAGGGAAGCGCGGCATGGTGAAGTCGCGGCGGGTCTATGTGGTCACCTCGAACCCCGAGCGGGTCCCCGAGTTCCAGCGCCTCTTGGGCCTCTATGGCATCGAGGTGAGGCACGCCAACCCCTATGGCTACCCCACCAGGCCGCGGAGAGGGCGGAGAGGGCGGAGAGGGCGGAGGAGTTTTGTTTTGTGGGTCCGCGTTTTTTTTCTTTTCTTCAGGGGAGGAGAAAGGCCTAGCCTTGAATTTCAGGGAGCCAGGCAAGACGTTGCTGTAAGCAAAGTCCCGTTTGGTCCCCCGATCCTCCTGCAGGTGTCACATGTCCCTATGACGTCCCCGTGTTTGTCAGTAAAGTCATGATGCTGAGTGCAGTTGTTGATTTTGCCGGGTGTAGCTGTTGCATCAAAAGTCATTCCTGGATCTGTCACGCAATGCAGCCGGCAGACGTGGAGGGTCCCGACCTGCTCCTTCGAACATCTCGCACCTTTTTGGAACTGGTTCCGGCAGAGGCGGGGCTTCCTCGAGTCCAGTCTTCGCCTGCCCTATCTGCAGAGAACACCCCCTCTCAGCCGGCACAGACAGATGGAGCACCTCCGGAAGACGCAGGGGATGAAGATGAAGATGAGGACGATGTATATGGTTTTCACCCGGATCATCCTACTTGGCAGGCTGCAAGGAAGCTCATGATTCGCAATATTCCAGCTCGGTGTTCCTACCAAGAGCTAGATGCTTTCCTCCGCACGTGTTCTCCATCACCGTTCCGCCTATCTCTTCCTGTAAACAGGAGTGGCCGCAGTTGTGGCTATGCCTTCGTCACCATGGCAAACCCACTTTTGCTGAGAACCTTGGTGCAGGCACTTTGGCGGCAACGGATCCCATCAAGGCAGAGCTCGAAGCCCCTCAAGCTTCAGCCAGGCAAGGGAACTGCTGCATGACCAGCTGCAGCCAAAAGGCGAAAGCATTCTGCGGCCAAAATACGGCTGTTTGCATGTCCCAATACATTGATCTTGCCAGTCTATGCAGACGCAATTCAGCTTTAAGACTGTGAGCGTTTGCAGAGGGGGCAAGGTTTCCTACCTGTACAGTTGGTTTTGTGCCTGGCATTGGTGACTCCAGTCAGCGCATACTTTCAAAACCAATGGTAGGCTACGGCAGAGCCTCACTCTCTATGAACAGGAGAGGAACCCAGCCATAATTTTGAAGCGTTGCCAGCCTTCGTTTCCTTCAGTCATTTGCATTCTTAATTCATGTTTGACCTTCAGCATTTGAAGTCAATGTGGGATGGCTTGCTTGGGAAAGCTGGCAGTGCACCATCTTTGAACTGAGGCCTTAGCTTTAGGCTAGAGCGAGCCCACATCTCGCGGCCGTTCAGGTGTGTCTTTTTGAGGCTACCCTTTTTGTGTGGTTTTAAAGGGAAGCCAAATAGATAATCATACATTTGGAGGTCCAAAAATAAAAAAGACACACCCATATGGCCAATCCTTGCACCCCAGTGAACTCTCATGAAAATCCTCAGTTGCCTTTGCATCCTAAAGCTCTCTATGAGCTCCTCAGACCGCACAGAAAGCTGCCGGGGCCCCAAGTTGTTGTTATGTCGATACATGAGCAATGAGACGCCGGACATGTTTTGACATTTGAAGACAGTCCCAGCTTGGACAATCAGGGGTTTTGAGTTGACTTCACCGGTTTCGAGTACAAAGGCCCCGTTCAGAAAAAAAATGAAACACCGAAAAAGAAGAAGAAGAAGAAGAAGAAGAAGAAGAAGAAGAAGAAGAAGAGGAGGAAGAAGAAGAAGAAGAAGAAGAAGAAGAAGAAGAAGAAGAAAACAACGGCAGGCGGAAGGGACCCTCTGCACTTCGGCCGCTGGCATCCAAGCTTTTGGCCGAGCAGTCAGAGCTCTCTTGGACCAAGTCGGTGATGTATGAGCAGGCGCTCCCCGATGTCAGGCTTTCCTTGGACTCAGGTCTGGCACTAAACACCACCAGTCAGCCTGCGAAAAAAAAGCAATCCAGTGAACTCTGTTTCTTGACAAGAGGAACAACAACCGGGGGGGGGGAGGGGGGAGGTGGATTTCATTGGGACATCAACCACCCCGGGGTTTGAGTCTGCCTTGTCATAAGTGGAACCCTGAACGCAGACCTTTGTCAGCGGCATGTGTGGTCGGCATACCGCTTTTACTTGAGGTAATGGGCAGGGGATTCTAGTGAGAACCATGATCAGGGTTCCTCTCAAGGAAAACATGACCATGACCCGCATGCTTTGCCACGCAGGGATCCAAACGCCACCCTTCCAGTAATGCACGCAAGCAATTCAAAACGGCCGGATGGGTAGGGTTTCCGACGTGCAGGCAAATGTTCAGTTGAAATCTGCAGCGCACTTCGGCCTTGGATTGCGCAGTGACGGGCTATTTGAATCCAGGTCCGGGAAAACTTACGTGTGGGGGGATGGCACGCGCACTCGGTTTACATGGTTGGCTACCCCAACTTCTGCCTCTGGACCAACCCACCGACCAACAAACCAGCTAAGCAACCAACCTGGGAGAGTGGAGTCAAGAATTGCAGGCCAGACTTCAGCTTAGTCTTGGCGCCAACACCTCTTAGGTTTAGTGTACCAAAACCGCACGGACTCGTCCGAAGAAGGGGGGCCAGATGGATCAGGGTGGTTCAGAAGGAAACCAAAGAAAGACCACCATTTCCGGTGGGGGGGGGGCGGGTGTATGTTCTACCCGGGGGGGGTGGCCAATTTTAAGACCCCACCAGTTCACTCCGCTGGAGTCATCTGCAGGTGTTGCTCCTTTGTCGGGGGACCTTGGACCATGCGGACGCGGTGGGCCGTAGCCTCGTGGACGGTGGCTCGGCGAATTTTCCTTTTCGGAACAAGAGCTTACGGGTGGGAAAGGGGGAGGACGTCAAGGATTGAGGGCATTTCCCATCTTTGGTGCTCAAAATGAGCCGACCATGTTTTGGGTCTCTGCAAATTCCACTCAACGAGCGGATTCATTCGAAACGGCTGTGGTGCTGAATATGGGGGTGAACTAATGGGTCCAAAAGGATGCTTTGGTGGACATCATGTGGCTTAGTGCCCATCACCTGAACTTTGAACTGTCTACTTCCGATCGCCGTTGCTCAGGAAAGGCTGGGAATGGATGAGAGGTCTTTTTGGCAGCAGGTTCTTTGTGTTCAAAGAGGCAATTCGTCTTGCCATCAACAGCTTGTTTATCGTTTATCCTTTCCGCTGGCCCAATCATCGAATCTGCGACAGCCATTCCGCATTCCTATAGCTGGCCTGACGTTGTCCTCGCATTGGACATCAGTATTTGTTCATTGTGCCAGCCTGGAAAAGGAAGATGGAACAGTGTCACGAATGTGTTGCTCAGGTAGGCGAACTCCTTGTTTCTCTTGAGTGGAACACTAAGCCAAACTGCGGCACCTCAGTTGACATGCTGGGTATTGGCCTTTGGGATTTATTCAGGAGCTGTGAGACTCTGGTTCTTTACTTTCGGCAGTGCTGAGAAACGATCCACTTGAACGCACGCTGTCATTGCACCCCGCGGCCTTCATCCTTCATCACCCATGCAGTGGAGATTTGCTTAGTTAAAGTCTTCCTGTTGCCCCCCCCCCCACTCGTTGAGGCTCGTGTTGCCTTCAGGGACCAAATATTCAGAGATGATGTAATTACTTGGACATACCACTTCCACATTGCCGACTGAGCTTTTCATGTGCAGTGGCCTTAGGAGAGCTGGTGACAGTCAGTGCAGCGCTGACCGTTTGGTGCAACAAGCAGTCGGACACAGCGACAGACGTGCCAGAGCTGGACGAGTTTGTGTACAGACACGAAATGGATGCCAGGATTGATCTGTCAAAGCGGCAAGCAAACAAAGTTGGAGTGTTCAATTGGGATGATGTCGTGGTGGATGTGTACAGCGGCTTGTCTTACCACGAGAAGAAGGTCATGGGTTTCAAAGTGTCCCCAAGGGACATGATATTATCTCGTTATCTTCAAGATCACATCCACTATCGGAGGCGCCGACTCTGTAGGCACAACCACTTGGAGACTGCTCGGGCTGTGGATTTCGGTGACGGCTCAAGAGCGCTGGAGTTTTTCGGGAAGAACCCCTACCTCTTCTCCGAAAATGTCAAGGAGCATGGGCTCTCGAGCGTCTTTGCCTCGGTGGTGAATTCCGGGGTCTTCCTGCGCGCAGCCATTACCAGGCGGGAGTTCATCTACTGGCTGCCGGGGCTCAACGCGGGCATCCCCCTGGTGCCGAAGGACGATGCCATCCATGAGGCCACCTTCCAGGCGCACGACCTGGCGCACTTCCTGGTCCCGTGGGCTGGTGACTACCCTCAGCTTTTGGAAGTTTGCCGAACATGCCCCCACAAAAATGGCGGTGTTACCCTTTGGTTTCCCTTGAAACACCACAAAACACGGGGTATACCCTCAAAAAAAAACATCAAACACCCAGATGTTTCGCCCAATGAGCTGAGTGACGTGTTGCCTTTAAGGGACCTCCGGAACTCAGGTCCCAGACCTTCTCTTCACAGGCCAGGACTCCCCCTTGCACCGGCGCCTCTACATCGTGTACCGCATGTTGAGCGAGGCCACCACGCTGGTCTTCGCGGACATGGTCTTCGTGGAAGCGGCTCGGGTTGCGAGCTCGTAGAATCGGATGGCTCCGAAAGGAGTTGGTTTTCAGATTGTGTTCTGACTCGTTGGTGACCTCCTTGAAAAGAGGGTTGGTCAGAAGTGGGAGGCCTTTCGTTTTTTTTTTTTGGGTGACCCTGTTTAGTGAACATTGCGGAGGATGAGGGTTTCACATGCGGACCGATTTCACATGGGGACCGATTTCTCTTTGAACAACCCTCTCCTCATGAAGGAAGGCTCCTTCAGGATGCCTCAAAGGGTATTGGAGGGAGAGCGTTCATGGCTTTTTGAGTGCCCAGAAAGCAAATCGCCACAATGGCCTTTCGCGTGAATGGAAGACGATCTTGGGAAATGCCGTGGCTGAAATTTGAAGACTCGTGGAAGCCAAGGGCTCGAACTTAAGGGCTGGAGGCTGGCTCTCAAAATCGGGGCTTCCCCCCGCGCAACTGGTTTTGGAAAGGCCTTCGAACATTCCAATCGCACCAACTGAGCCGGCCGAAACCTCCGAGAGAAATCGTAGAAGCGTCCCAAGAAGAAGCACGATGGAGTCTGGTTAACTGCTTGGCGCTTGGCTTTGCGCGTATTTTGTGCCACTTGTTTGATCATTTGGCATTCCCCGGAAGAACGCCCTAACACGCCTTGCACTGCCACTTGTTGTTGGACGTGTTTCTCGGGATTTCATTTCCAGATGTTCGCCTTCGGCCCACGGGCAAAGCTGAGGCGCTGAACCGCAGCGGAGTGAGCTACGACTGGGGCAAGCGCAAGATCTGGCCCCTCTTCCGCGCCACAGGCCTGGACCCCTTCGAGCCAAAAGAGGCGCAGCACTTTCTGCGGGTCTTCCGGCGCTTGATGGAGGCCAATGTGGCGTACTGCCTACTGGGGGACGACTCCAAGTACAGGCAATTGCTTGCTGAAGGCGGAGAAGAAGGCGAGCCCGCGGTGCTGCGAGACTTCAAGGACAAGCAGCCTGACCGGTGTACCGGTGTTGCCCAGACGGTGTCAATTGCATCATGTTGCTTTCTCTCCTTTGGAGCTATTTTCCCATCCTTTCGCAAAGGGGGTGGGTGGTGTAAAATCTCCTTTGGAGCTATTTTCCCATCCTTTCGCAAGGGGGTTGGTGTCTTACGCTTTTTTAGGTACATGCCGTTCTTCGTGGAAGACTTCCAGTGGACCGCCAAGAATTACGCCTGCATGTCCGCCAAGCCGGGGGAGATGGCGCGGTGGTGGCAGCTGGCATCTCCGATCCGTAAAGCCATCGGACAGGAGAGCCTGGGAGATCCTCTAAAAACTGGGACTTGCGGCCTAAGGTTATGACCTCGAAATGCCAGCAGTTGCTGGAAACTTGTCAAAAGATAAAGCAACAGAAGAAAAACAAAACAAAAACCCATTAGAAAAAAACATGTCTGAACCGGCATTTCCCCCAAAAAACCGAAAGAAACAACAAAGAAAACAGCCACACATTGTAAAAAGGAGGCCAGCCTTTTTCTCCAGCGACCCAGGGACCACCCAGCCCGCCTTCAGGAGCCCGCCTTCATGATGGTATGTGCGAACCTGGATCCCTGTCAGCGATGCGTTTTTTTTCAACCTCATTTGCCTTGGTTGAAGTTTGCCACGGGCTACCATTGGCTTTTCAAAATGTGCCCGTGTTTGCCTGTTCTGTTGTCTTTTTGTTTTGTGTGCTGCTTGTTTGTTTCAAGCAGGTTTTGTTTTTTTCCTGGTGTTTCTCCGGTTCTTTTTTGTATATATCTTTTGTCAGAACCCCCAGAAACTGCTAGACACGTTTTCGTAAGCCTAAGGGAGACTCAGTTGACTCAGCCATGCATGTAAGTGTGGGTCAAAATTAAACCACCAGGAATTGGACCGCAGGCTTTAGTGCATGCTTCCATTTGCCAGGGCAAGCCATTTTGGGTACCTGTTTTTGACCCACAGCCATGTAAGTGTGGCATCCTCCTTTCCACCTTTTGATCTATCTTTTGAACCAAAGCACATTGTTGCAAGAGTGCTTGGCTCACATCCATCGGAAGCTTTTCGGTCTGCAAAGAGCAAGATGGGCTCTTTTTACGTCGCAGCTGCCTACATTTGGGCGCGTCTTTTTTTCCGATGGGTCACCTTTCTTGTGGTTTCAAAGGGGAAACTCTGAAAGGAAAGAGAAAGTCCCCTTCAAAAGCCAGTTACATTTCATGGCTTTCAACCCCCCCCCCCATGAAGGGACGCTCTCAAAGGGAAAAAAAGCACCAGGTTTTGTGGCTCCCCTCAAAAGCACAGACACCCTGAAACTCGCGAAATGGGACTCCAAACTCTGGGACCAAGCTCTTGGAACAAAGAGCTCGGTGGGTGTTGTCGAAATAGGGGTCTGTTTGGTTCGAACACCGAGAAAAGAGCGCGATGAATGCAAAAAGTCCGACACATTTTCCGCCAGAACCCCAGGCGGTTTTTTCTTGGGGTCGAACCAACTCCGGGACCCGAACAGAAGGGCAGTTTGTTTGCAAATGAGAGGATCCGGATTCCCGTGATTTTCACGGGTTCCATGCTGGAAGAAAGACGAGCCACATTCCGGGATTCAATGGTGGTACAATTGATGTCCGGATATTTTAGTATGTACCCATAAACAAAAAGAGCCCATTAAAACCGCCATGCCGGAGATCTCATTTGTCTGGGGGATGTGCCCGGAGCCTTCATGTAGGAGGTCTGCGGCCCCGGCGCCACGGGGCTGCTCACCATCCAGGAGTTTGCTCAGCGCATCCAGGCGAAGCGCCCCAAGAGCTGGGGGGGCGTTTGGATCCGCGAGTCAACGAACCAAGGTGTTGTGCCCTCCACAATGTCAATGCGCCAGCCACATTTTCCCCACATATTGGTTTGGAAGTCCAATAGATGAGGTTCCTCTTGGTTTAATTAATTGACATTTCCTTTTCTAGGGTCCCCCCCCCAAAAAATGGTGGTTTTCCCTTTGAACTTCCTTCAAAGCCACCAAACCACCGGTGCCCTCCACAAAAAGACGAGTCATGTCCAGCCGTGAGGTGTTCATTCCTTCCAAAAACGCGCCCGGCTCTGCTCGCATTTTGGGGGTCTTTGGGTGAGGCCAGCGAGGCGGGCGGGACGGAGTTGGTCTGGGCCGCCTTGGAGGAGATCTGGGCCACGCGCCTGGCGCCGGTCTTCTTGGAGCCCCAAGAGCTGAACCCGGACCCCAGGCGCCCGGTCCACCGGGAAACACGGAGAGAGGGCACCGTTGTTCTTTTGGGGGGGAAGGGATTTTTAAAGGGAGAGCAAAGGGAAAATCACTATTTTGGAGGGGTGCACTAAAAAAGACACAACCACACACCAAGCTTCTTTTCCTCTTTCTTTCTTTCTTTCTTTCTGTCTTTCTTTCTTTCTTTCTTTCTTTCTTTCTTTCTTTCTTTCTTCTTTCTTTCTTTCTTTCTTTCTTTCTTTCTTTCTTTCTTTCTTTCTTTCTTTTTTCTTTCTCTCTTTGCTGTGTGCAGCTTGTGGCAGCTACTGCCGCCAAACAGGCAGCCCTGTTCTCAATTCTGCATTGCACGTCTTGGAAGCCTGCTTGAAGGCAGTCGCCAGAAACAGAAAACACCGTCTCTAGTTTCAGAGCCATCTCGGGCAAGGACTTGTTTGCCAGCTTGCACAAGTTGCACACGTGTGTTCTTGCTTGTTTTTAAGCGGACCCTCCAAAATAGTGCTTTTCCTTTTGGTTTTCTTCAAAACGCGAAAAAGCAAGGGGGCCCTCAAAAAGACACACCCAGATGGAGCGGCAGGCAGCTGCTGTTCGCATCCTTCGGGCGGTACATGATGGGGCAATGTGTGTTGCTGGCGCGCTTCAACTTTGTGCCGGAGTCGCCAGGATGCATCCATCGGCAGGGGGCATGGTTTGGCCTGGGGCGTTTGTTGGCCTTGAGTCAACCCTCAGAGGCAACAAGATGCAGACCCTGGGGTTTTGTGCAATAAGTCGTTGCCGTACGTGCTGTGGAGCCAATCTTCGATGCGGTGCAGGTTTGCGAGGCTCGTGCGAAAAGAACACACTGCGGTTTTTCCTTTTGGCTTTCCCTTTAACACCACAGAAAAAGATACAAACTCCAAGAAAAAGACGAGCCACCCATATTGGTAGATGTGCAATAACAGGCACCTGTGTGCACCATTGGCGCTGCCTTCCTATTCAAGGCAACAACTTGTTGTTGCTCAAATCAGCCAGGCTTTCCCTTTTATTGGTTGGCTCGTCTTCTTATTGAACACCCGTTTTACCTAGGGACACCCCGGGTTCCCAGGCTGGTCCCTTGGGCCTTCAGCTGAGGTCTCAGAGCTGCCACCAAGAGATCTTGCAGGCGGGGAGTCGGGATCCACAGTCATAGCATGGTGTGTCTCAAAATGCTGAAGCCCTTGTTGGTGTTCAAAGGGGAACACATCGCCATGTTTGTTTGTTTGTTTGTGACACTCCCAAACCGATCTTATATTTTAGGGTCAAAATATGGAGAGTCAGAACATAGTCTTTTCCGTGTCCGCATGGCCAGTAGCTCTGAGTCATGTCGACAGCGGCGGCTTTACCCTTCGGATCCCAAACGCGGGCGTGGTTTGGGCAGATGGCCAACTCACAGTTCTCAACCATGAAGGTTCCGTCCTCTCAAAACCAGTATTTCAATGATTGGTGCACCGTTCTGATTCACACAGGCAGCCCCAGCGGGATTTTTGCCGATTTACGTATGGCTGAAGGAACCGTTCCGGTCCTTTGGGGGAGTTTGGCAAAGTAAAAGGAAAACAATCGCCATTTTTGTTGGGTCTCCTACTTCAAGACACGCCCAAATTGATTTTATATTTTAGGGTCAACATATGGAAAGTCAGAACTTATCCTTTTCTGCGTACCCCGCATGGCCATGAATTTATTTAATGCAGTAGCTCTCATCTCGACTGAGTCACTTCGCGAGCGGCTGCTCTTCAACCAGCACCTCAAGACTGTGAAAACCCGGAAACAAAAAACAGCAACATGGGTGTGGCTCAAAAAAAACCGGGGCCCAAACTTTTCAACCCCTGGTAAATGGAATGGACCAAGCCCTTGGGCCCCCTATCAAAATGAGCCCCTGGGAATAGAGCAATGCGGTCTACGCCAGGCCTTGCAGGATGCCAAGGGCTGCCTTGAGGAGCAGCAGATGCTCAAGCTGCGGCGCCGCTTCGCCTCTCGGAATTTTTGGCGCGCCTCTCGTTGGGTCAGGGCCCCTGGGTCAGGCGATTGAAGTGTTTTCGACACGGCATGGCATAGGAAAAATGGTGGACTGCTTTGCTGGCAAAGGGGGCACAGGAAATCACCGCGCCGGCATCAGCCCATATGTGAATGATGTTCACAAATGTTCACCAAAGGGCCCTACTGTAGTCAAAATATGATATCCCCCACAAAGCTGTCACATGTCCACACAGGAACGTGTCAGCTCTGAGAGAAGCGGGAGGAATTTCCCTCTTTTAGGGATCTCTAATTTGGTGCCATGGCTGTTTGCAGCCATGAAGCAGGGGTTGAACATCGCCTGTTGGGGCCAGTCTTTTTTCTTCCCCCGCTCTGCGTGGACATTTGAACAAAGTTGTTGGTGGTCTACTGCTGGTTTGGGGAGGGCATGGGGCGGACACACAAATGTTCCCAATTCACACTTTTCCTCTTGGACAAGTATTTCCGTCCTTTGTTCGGGCAAAGCATGAGTAGTCTGTGGTTCATTTTGGAGGAAACAGGCTGGTAAAAAACCTGGTAGTTTTTGTGCTTTTCTTCTGTTTGCTGCTGGGCTGTGATGCGTCGAGTTGCAGTTGTGAGCAGGGCTGGAGGAGGGGGAGGAGGGGGGTGGGGGTGGGGGAGGGGGGTGAAGGGGGGTGGGGTGGGGGTGGGGGAAGGGTGGGGGAGGGGGGGGGGGGGCTTGCACGCACAGGAATGAGTGCACACAGGTTGACGCATGGCCAATGTTGGTTGCAAATGCTGGCAAAAAGCATCTGGAGAGCGACCATGTCCATCCCATGAGTGTATCTGGAAGTTTCTGGTAGGATTGTCTAGTGCGTATAACCTTTTCTCTGCCTGTACGTGAATGGTATGCACAGTGGTATCAAAGAGTACACTTGAGCCAAACGGATGCATGGAGATCAACATTTAAATCAAACACAGGGGGGTCCCAAACCGGGGCACCTTACCTCGTGGGAACAGGTACCTTGTGGCAATGGTCCATTGTAGGCCCTTGATCTATTCCACACGATGATCCAATATGCCAATGGTGGGTGGAGTGTGTCTGGAAGTCCCTCGTAGGATTGTCTTGTGAGTATAACCTGTAAAGCGGTCCGCAAGTAATCCCTTTTCTCTGCCTGTACGTGTATGGTATGTACAGTGGCAAGAAAGAGTAGAAGAGTAGAATTTGCTAGAAGGGCCTCTGTGACGAGGGAAGCACGCAAACGACCCGCTTGCTTCATAGTGGGGGTCCAATGTATAGACAAATGGTATCATTGCAAGACGATACGCCAAGTCAGCTGCACTCGCTACATGGGTCGCTTCTTTTGTAAGTATCAGCTTGAAGAATTATGTCTGCCGTACGTCGGCTGCAGTTTGTTGGTTCAGATTTTCGAGTAATTGAGCTGCAAATATGCAAAAAAACATTGGGTGTTTGTACAATTTTGCATAAAAACAATGCTGTCCTAATTCTCCCGTTCACTGTCAAGCATGCGCCAGAGATGACACATTGCAAAAAAGCCAGGGGAAAACACGTGTGACACAGCACCATTTTGGAGGGGCATGGGGGGTCACTATTTTTGTCACAACAGCGGTGGGACAACCCATTTCGTCTGCGGTGGTACTCTTTATGTTTCGGTTTCAGACCGTCTTCACTTGCCATGTTCACCAGCCTACCTCACTCAACAGCCGGGGGTATGTAGTACACGCAAGTGACAGCACGCGACAACCCACACCGCATACTCTGAGGGTACCCATACCCCCCACCAAGACATCCGCCTTTTTCGGGATTTCTTTGGGGACCAAACAATGGCTTCGGTTCCCTGTGGCCAAGGAGGCGCACGTGGACCTGCTGCTGCTGCGGCAGCTCATCTCGCAAGACGATGCCGTGACCTTCAAGGCACCCCGGGAAAATCTGGTTTTAAGGGACACCAAGAGGAAAACCACCCATTTTAGGGGGTCTCCTAAACAAAAGCACACACACACACCACATGAGGGACTGTGAAAAACCATTGGAGGCGGGGAGGCTTTGGGGGACTCTTGGTTGCAGTTTTGGTTTGACCTGTCGCCCTTGCGGGAAGCATGGGTTCCACCCCCCCCCCCATTAGGCACCGTGGCTTGGTGTGCCACGGTGCCGGCGCCAAGTTGCCAAGTACGGTCCCGGGTGCCAGTTGGAGGTTGGGCCATCCTGTGTCTTGTTGTCTGAGCCCTTGATCAGGCCGTTGGAGATAGTTTCATGGCCGCTCTTTCGGCAGAGGTGCGCTCTTAATCAGACAGATGCAAAGCTGATTCAAAGAACGCAGCTTCTACGATTCCATACCTCGGTCACCCCAGCTCGTGCATGTTTACAGCCTCACTCTTTGTCCGTATGCACAGTTTTCAGGAGCTGTTTGAGGTCCAAAAGTGGGAGAATTGACGGGTGGGTGGCCCACTCACAAAGTGCGTTTTGGTTTGACCTGAAATGTGCACTATATCGTCCGAGCCAGATGCTGTCGTGGCAGGTCTGGTAGGTGATTTGGACCAGGATATTATGGCATGTTCGCTCCTTCAAGTCAGCAGATGCATCGGCTTGCCATGCCATACCCTGCAAGAGGTCCTTCCCCTCAGATATGTTCGGACTCAAAGGAGGTGAGGCAACACGTGTGAGGGCTGATCATTACATGTCACAGTCCATTCTTTGGTTGCAGCCCGCACTATTCATCAAGAGTTTGCCTCGATTTCAGAGCATCGAAGGAGGTCTGCCCGCTCTTTGACCCCTGCTTTGCCTCCTACGATGAGCCCTTGTCACAGTACCAACAGCTGCAGCTAGCCGCTGGGCAGGAGCTAGTCAGATTTGAGTCGGGCTAACTCGTAGTCACTTCTGTGAAGGCTTTGTGGGTCTTGGTTGGATCTTTGGACTTGAACTTCTTGGGTACAAATCTACTGGACCCACAAAAGCTTAAACTTTTGGCAGAGGGGTCCACAGTGACCAAGGAGGTATCTCGGTGCTTGCGTGAGAGAAGGCCGATGTGGCGAGATGATGGGCTTTCGTGTTTCGCGGTGGCTTTCCACGGGTCAATCGAGCCCTTCGTGTGACCAACAAAACATATGGCTGGGAGATGAAAGCAGGGGACAGCAGGAGTGCGTGGTCACGGAAAATGGATCTTCGATCTTTCCTTCTTTCTTCTTGGCTTTTTTTGCTTGCTTCTTTTCCATGTTTTTTGTTTAGTGGTTGGCTGCCAGCTACATTTGGCCAACAGAAGTTGGGAACTTCCAGATGGAATCATTTGTCTTCTTGAAGCTGCTTTTGGGGTAGTTTAACCCCCGAGTTTGGGGTTGCCAGAAGGTGAGCAGCGAGATCCTGGGGGCCCCAGCCCCGGCCGGGTGCGCGAAAGGCGACGGAAGGGCAACTTTTTCGATAGGTGTTGGTTTTTATGTGGGAATTTAATGCACGTGGGCGAGTTTGCTTCGTGGCTTGAGGCAGAGGGAGAGCGAGACAGAGCGAGAGAGAGAGAGAGAGAAAAAAAGATGATAGGCGAGGCGTTTTGCAATCTTTCTGGACAGCAGTTGCGGAATGGTCAGCAGTCAATCCCAGAAGCTCGACAATGTGGTTTTTCTGTTTTTGGGATAGTGCAACTGGCCCTCTCTGAAAGTTGAGAAGTTTGCTTCACCTATGCGTCTATCACTGCATTCTTCAGCCTCCTCTTTGCCCAATGCTTGTTCTGTTGAACGATGTGGCCTTCAAAGACCCGAACACTGGCAATGCAATGACGTTCCTTGGGTCCAAAAGGACCCTCTGGTGGACATCGGATGATGGGAACTCATGTTCATCAACCACTTTTGGAGATATGTTCGTATTGAAATACATAGCAATCTCTTTCAAGGGATTTTTCGCACCCGGAATTCTTTGTGCACGTGCGCTGGCTTGGCGGTCTGTCGAAGACGGCATTTGGAAAGTTCCAGACAGGCCAGCCCTTGCAAGATGGCGTCCCAGCTAAGCTGCAACGCCAAAGGTCACAGGCTGGTGGCTTGGACGCACAGGATGCATTCCCAGCAGGCGGTTTCGGGACTTTCGGCTCGATGCCTTGTGCTCGATGGCATGTGAACGGCGGGTGTAGGTCAATAATTCGAACCCTCAAAAAAACTCCATCCGGGATCTTAAATTCGGGAGCCCCCCCCAAATGGCATCGGTTTTCCAAACGGCAACAAACAGAAGACCGACACCCATTTGCGTTGCCGTCCCTGGTGGTCGAACCTTCCTGTGGCTCAGGCAAAGGAACCCGCTTGCGCCTCCTGGCTGCACTGTTGGACGAGAAGAGATGAACCATATGTAGGTGTGTTTAAAATAGGGGGCACCCCCAAAATGCCTGGTTTGCTTTTCCTCTTTTCTTTCCACCGAAAAAAGGAGCACATTCAAAAGAGACCTGGTCACCCTTTTCTCTGACTGCCTATTTGTTGGAGAGAAAACATAGTGCCACCTGCTTCTGACCTAGTGCTTACAAAGCCGAGTCTGGTTTAGGGCTTTGGCTGGCTCGCGTGTGGTTGGCCACCCACTCCTATCCTCTTCGTTGGGCCCAGGCTGGGTACCCAAGCAGAAGTGCTGAGCATGATACAGAGGGCTGCCAGCGAGACGCCTCGTAGCTTTGGTTCTGGCATGGCTCATGTACAGCTTGAGCGGAGGCAAAACAGAAGCCGCGGAAGTGAGCGTGCCGCCCCATGGCTTCGGTTGCGCGGATGAGTTTGGTTGCGCGGTGTCGGGGAGTGCGGGCACAGAGGCGCAAGACTCCAAGAGAAACGAGTCCCCTTGGCTTTGCAGCGGCACCTGGCAGCCACGATCCGCCGCATTTCAAAGACGCAGTGAGCGCCATAGGGCCACTCAGTTTCACAGGCGGACACATGGCCTGCTACTTAGAGAGACGGAGAGGGCTGAAGGAAGGGCCATTTTCTTTGTTCAGACCTCTGCAAGCGTCTGCGTATTGCTGGCTTGCACTGCACGAAGATCTGTGAAGCTTTTCACTGAATTGGCTGCGTCCCAGGCAAACGACCCGTCCAAGTTTGACCAAATATGGCGAGCTTCGTGCGAGAAGGCATGGCAGCGGTGGACAGGGGCAGGGTGGCATCATGAGGGAAGCTGGGGAAGAAGAGGAGGGTTGTACCAAAGAAGACTGCTGATTGGGCGCCCGGAGAGATTGAGTCAAAGCTGTACGTAACATTTGTGCCTGATATGAAGTCTGGTGCTTGCCTGACCATGTGACGCTTTGCAGGGGGTGGCTTTTTTCAGAATGGTGATCTTGCTTTTGGTTGTCCTTTTTCCCACCAACCAAACAGGGGTTCCATGTGTCGCTCGATTGCGCAGGAAATGCTTGCCTGGCAGTCTCCTGCAAACCTCTTGAAGCTCCGCTCTCAATCGTGACCCATTGGATCCACGGAAAAGCCCCTCATGTCTGGTGAAGTGAAAGTCGTGGACATGCAAATTAAAACTGATTACGTTGTAGACACAACCTGGAGAATTTTTCCCTCCAGGTGGATACTTCCTGAAAAGGGCGGAGAAGCTTGCCCCCTTTTTCTTGCAGGGCCCCGGCCATGCATTTTTTCTTGGCCCTGGTGAGAGTTATGAGTACAGGAACGCTTACACCGAACAACACGCATCTTCTTTCTCTTTGATTGGCAGTCCTAGGAGCAGGTGGGTGCCGCGGTTGGGGGCTGGGTCAACCCAGTTGTAATGAGATGCCAACCCCCGGGTTGGCACCGCACTCCAGCCGACCCACCCAACCCAAGCCAAACCAAGAATCCCTTACCCACGTGGGGTTGTCGTGCAAAGCCAAAAAATGCACCGAGTCCCGAGCCTCTGGGGAAAAATCCGTGGCCCAAGGAGTTTGCAGCTCCCACTCGGGCCGCCGGAGGACTGGCTGGGACCAGGTCGTGGACTTCATGTGGATGATGCATATGCCATTCAAGCGCACAATGAAGTGAACATTGACAAACTAGATAAACAGAGATACATAGATACATGAATACATCTTTATGCTATAAACACGAGCCTGCCGCACTCACACCCCCCTCACCCAGCACAGCCTGCCGTGCTGGGATGGCGAAGTCTTTGTAGTTGCCTCCTGTGGTTGGCTTACGGGACATCTGCGTGTGACATTCCGTGACCACCCGGCAGCGCAGTCCAGGGTTTGGTGTCTTGCTGGGAAAGAAATGAATGAAACCACGCAAAGTGAGCTTGGGTTTGTCAAATTTGAGAGGATGTGTGCAGGCATGTTGCCGAATTTGAGGCGGCATCGTCTTGGGACTGGTTTGTGCCCTGACATTGTTGGTGGTCTTTTTTTTGCGGGTGCCGCCACTTTGGGATCGAAAAAGAAACACGCAGTTTTCCAGGAGGGCTCCAGCTACCGAGCGCCCAGCCTGGGCGATGTGGCCGCCAACCTCAGGGCTCAACCTCCAATCGCTTGAGAGTCTGCTTTGGCGGACAAGCAGATTCTCCTGGTTGCTTTTTTGGTTGGATATTGAATATTGAGTGAAGCTCATGCGAGGCTTGGGAGTCTGGGGTTTCAGGCGAACTTAACCCTAGCCTTTGGAAATCAAAAGGAGCCTACTTGAAGAGATCAGATGTTGCTTTCGAGCCCTCCCCAGCTAGGATATGAGGGTCCATGTCAATGAGTGCACGGGAGAGGCAAGGCAACCCGCCCCCCCGGTTTTCAACATCACGCTTGGTTTGCTTTTGGAGAATAGCCTCCATGTGGCAGAAGTGCATTGCGTGCGAGGTCGCCATCTCCGGCATCCGGAGGAGACCTGAGCTGAACGGGGCGAAGGGCGAGGCGAGACCAGCCCGTCGCCCGGTGGCGTTCCCACATCCTTAGGTCTCAGCTTGTGCAAAGAGCCGCTGATGAACCGGAGTGACCTCTGGCCGATATCCGGAAAACAGATACGAAGCATTCGAGGATGCCCCTGTTAGAGCATTATGACAGGCATTGTTGTTGTGGGGGCTCAATGTTGAATGCAACAACATCAAGCTTCCGTTGGCAACCAAAAGGACACTGGCAGGGCGAGCGTTTGGAGGTGCCTCTAGTTTCATGCATAGCCATAGAGAATGACGCTGCCTTCGTCATTGCAACCCCAGCAAATCTTTCATGCCAAACGATTTGTTTGGACAATCTCTCTCAGATGTTTGACAAATCACTGAGACAGATGTGGCTTTTGGGGCAAATCCTTTGCCGCTTTGACTGGAAGATATGTAACTCCGGCATAGTCTCGACTGAGCAAGTCTCGCTGGATGTGTCTTTCCGTGTGCAGATCATTTGCACCACGCCCGATGAGTTTGGCCGGGTCACAGTTGGCAGCCCAGAGTCCGGAGTCCGGATTTACGTTGATTTGTGTTATTTAATTTTTGAAGAACCTGCCGTGGGTGGTTTGAAAGGGAAACACCAGGTTTTAACACCAGGTTTTACCATGTTTAAGAGTCCCCTAGTTTGAGAGAAACCCATTTAAGGCCACGGTGGGCTTGATACTCATGGATGAATTCCCGCAGTGAGTTTGATGAGTCGCTTTGACAGACGTAAGCTTGTAGAAGCATTTTAGATGGATCACTCTGGCGTACCAGAGTTCTGGGCGCCTTTTGGCGCCAGAAGGCAGGACAAGTCCATCGTTGCTTGCCCAGGTCAACGTCTTTGACGACGCCTACGGGCCACCCCTGCGGATATTCCGCGCAGCCTCTCTCTAATCATCATATGTGTATATAAATACTGCGTATATGTACATATATATATATGCATATGTATATATATATATATACACACACTGTATGTATATAATATATACACACATGCAATATGTGCACGTACAGATGATGACATACATTTGCACAAAGCGACTTCCAAGACCCGCAAGATGGTTTATTCTCCGGCAAGAGAAGCGACCATTGTCAGACCCGGCTGACCGTCGCGCGGACTGCCAGGGATTGTCGTAAGATGAAGATCCAGCCTTTCAGGCCGGAGTTGAATCGTATTCATGTCGTTCTGGTAACTACACTAGCCCAGGACCCCCCCCAAAAAAAACGAAGATCATTTCCCAACCAAAAGGGCAACCACCCCTATTTTATCCTCAAACGCTATTCATGGGGCTTTGACCTCCTCTTTGAGTAAATCCAGGTCCAGCAATGACTCGAGCCCACGGCCGGAGTTTCATAGTGTGTGGGGTTGTAAGTGTCATGCTGTCCCCATGCTATCAGCTGTTGGGCAGACTTGAAGGCGTTTCCTGTGTGTTGGCATGCAAGTTGGGGCTTGAGTGGTCGCATTCACAAGCTGGGCAGGCTAGTGCCTGTGTCCTCGTCTCCCGACGTGCTGCTGGCTTGTGGCAGAATTTGGAGGGTCTACTGCCGGACTTCGCAACACTAAGCGGTGGTGACCTTGCGGTGAACATGACCAATCTGGCATGAGCAGGCCGACAGTCTTATCTGCAATAAGTGAACCATGAATTAATATCCTGGTAGTTTTGTTGAGGCTCGACAATATCTGATGCCAGTTGGACGCCTTTCGTCTGAAGACTGCAGAGATTCGTGCAGCTTCCTAAGAATGGTTGGCAGCGTATTGTTGGCCTCCAGGTCGGGGCGATGCGACTACAGGAGTCGGTGTGAGCAGCGCTGTCTCATCAACACACCCATGGCCTGTCTTGATTCGCAGGCACTTCATAGTTTACGCACATGCAACAGACGACCAGCCTTCGGTTTAGAGTTGTCCTCAAGCTGGGGAAAACCGAGGCTTTCCGGTAGGGGGGGGGTCTGAAAAGACATCCTGCTATCATCAGGATGGGACAATTGACCCACCTAAAGACCCAGCTTCCACACGACATAGTGGCCCTCTCGACAATTGCACTCAGATTGTGCTACCCAAAGTGACGGCAGCATTTTCGTACGTCTCAAAATAGTACTTGGAGGCTAAACAAATTTGTAGAGTTCCGAATCAGCCTCAGAGTGTCTTTTTCTAGGGGGGGGGCTTAAAATCATGGTTTTCGTTTTGGTCTTCCTTTGCAAGCCCAAACAGGGATGGCTTCAAAGGGGAAACCCAAGGGAAACCAAAGAGAAACCAGAGAGATACCGCCCAAGCAATGGGCGTGAGCTACTTGAAGACACACCCACTAATTCCCTTCAAAGATTGCCTGTTGGAAGGCCGATTCAAAGTGGGTCTCAGCATGTTTTTTGGCTGTTGATATTGCAAGTTTTGCAATGGGGAACACACTCACAAACGACTGGTGGGAATAAATATCCACGTCTTTGATGTCCCCAAAGGGTCCCAATTACCAAATCATGCCTGCATCTAGGTTGGACAAATTCGTTTGGTTTGTCTCCAAATCGAGATCCCCCCCCCCAAAGCAGGTGAATACAGGTGATCTGCAGGATTTCGCGTTTGGCTTCCTTGTAAAGCCATTCATTGTTGGGTTCCCTCAATAAACGGCAGACACATTTGCAAGAAACATAAATGTCGGGCTGCCGGGCTGACATGTATCGCAGTCACGCGCACGCTCCGAAACACTCCGGAACCAGATCTAGAAAACGCATTGGATAGATTTCCCATGTGCGTTGTGGATCCGCCCACTTCTTTCCCCTCGCTTGGAGCGGTGGGGTCCACGGTCCCGCCTCGGCGCCTCCCGAGGACGACCGCAGCAGCGTGCGGTCCATGTCGCGGCAGGGCCCGGCCCTCGGTCGCGCAGATTGGAAGGGGGGGGGGGCTGAAAGGCTGGGATGCTCGGAACGCCCTGAGAGAGAGAGCAAATCCCCCAGGCCGTGTCCACCGGGTCCACGTAGATTTTGTTATTATTATTATTATTTATTATTATTATTATTTCTTATTATTTATTATTATTATTATTATTATTATTATTATTATTATTATTATTATTATTATTATTATTATTATTATTATTATTATTATTATTATTATTATTATTATTATTATTATTATTATTATTATTATTATTATTATTATTATTATTATTATTATTATATGATTATTATTATTACTTTTATTATTATTATTTTGATAAATAAATTCACTGTTTGGTTTATAAATTGCATATATATATATATATATAATTCAATGGGAACATGATTTCATGTCGGGTCCACAGTTTAGATTCATATGCACGGAGCATGCCACAGGACATTTAGTCTGGTTCTTGGATTTGGTTTCAATTGAAACCACCCCCAAAAAGAGTACCCTGCCTGGCAAGGAAAGGATGCTCCTGAGCAGCGGACATGTCCAGAGTGTCGGTTTTTGGCGTGTTGTGTTGACTTGCACCATCCCAAATGCGAAGTGGATTTTGTGCATCAGTATTCAGCCCATTCATAGGCTTCGATGGGTTTCGGATCCAAGTGGCGCCGATCAGCCCTTAGAAATATTTTGTCCAGCAGACCCCGGACTCCCTCAAAAAGAAGGCGAAGGGCGAAGCGGTTTTTCCCAGTGGATCGAGGGGTTTATCCCCACGATAGGGAATCCCCATCGTTCTATGAGGGGGTTAGTCTTTGGGAGGCCAACTTGTTGTTACAGAAGTGGATCTCATTCCAAACAAAAGGAAGGAGAGGAAGGGCTCAGAAGTTGGCTTCGTTTTTTTTTTCAGGCTTAATTTCCCCTCTTTATATGGGGGGGTTAGTCTTTGGGAGCAGAAAGTGGATTCCAATTCCCACAGCCCCGGTTTTTCCCTTTGGCTTTCGGTAACCACCGACGGCGCGCTCCGACGGCGCGCCGCAGGCAGCGTGGTGTCGCAGGGCCGGGCGCTGGGCTCGGCCATCAGCTGCTCTGCGAAGAGCGCCCGGGGCCCCGGACGTGGCCAGACGTGGTCAGATGCCCGGCCCCGCACGTGAAAGGGGCCCCGCGTTTTGTTCTGGGCTTGGACCCAAACAAGGGACACACGTTCGAAAATAAGGGGACAAGGGAAACACGGCCGACAATAAGGGGACAAAACTGGGGGGGGTCTGGCAATCTGGAAGTGTGACGTTCAACCTGGTGGAGTTGGTACCCCCTTTTTTGGGCTGTTTTTGCAGGGGGGACAAAAGGACAACTACCTTTCGGTGGCCGTTTTTGCAGGGGGACAAAGGGAAAACCTTTTTTGGTGGGCGTTGTACAGGGGAAGAAAAGGAACACAGAAGCAAATTGTTTGGGGTCCCCGACAAAAGACAGACCGTAAGGGCATGAATTTTCATGGGTCCTGGACCCATCATTTAGGTGGGGGGTGTGGAGATTGATGTCCACCAACTACCTTTTTGGGGTTCCCGATTAACATTCGCAGCCATATTTTGGTCAGACGAAGGCGACATATAGTCACAGTCGGGGTCACAACCGATTGTTTGCAAAATGGGCAGGCAGTACTGGGCTTTCAATGAAGACACGTATCCATAGTAGGATGGAATCACCAAGCAAAACAGGGTTCCCCAAAAGACCCACCACATCCATATTTGTGAGCAAGCATGGTCTTTTTCCCCCTTCACATGCCTTGCAACCAGCACCTGCGGTGAGTGGCGCTAGACGCCGCTTCCAACGGATGTTTTCGATGGAAAGTATTCGAGGTCAGGCGGCTCGAACTTGCACCCATTGAAAAGCAGAAGAGCAGACTGTGGCGGGGAAACAGGGGAACTCTGAACCCATTGAGTACAGACCTGCAGCCGTCACAGCAGTAGGCAGATCAATTCACTAGACAAGTGTGGGTCAACGGATGTGCGAAGATTCTCCGCGCGAAGATTCTCCCTCACGCGTTGCCCGAGGCCCTGTCAAACACTGGCAGCCGCAGGCCGGTCTTGATCTCCCTGGCAGTTCTTCGCTGAGGTGTCCATTTATTTATTGCCCGGTGGTTGATTTTCCCAAGGGAACTTCCTGGTTTAAGTCTACCTTGGTAGTCAAATGGCCATGGTTCAAGCCCAATAGTACCATTTTGGGATAGGTGCACCACCCATGTTAGTCTGTTTTAGTGGGGATTGGGATGTTCACTGGGGGTACGGGGTTTTGACCCATGGCCAAATGCAAGACCCTGCCCTCACCTATTCCATTTCAACTTCGTGAGCCAGCTCGAAGAGTGGCACACTGAGCCCCGAGACTGACATGAGGTAGGGCAGACCCCTTGTCATTTTCTGAGGACGAAGCTACAGGTTTATGACCTTGCTTTGGGCAATTCGTATGAGCCACACGGTGTGAAGACCCCGAGATGCTACAAGCACCCTGCCTGCTGCCAGGAGTGCCAAAGATGCCCAAAAAGAGGCCTACCAAGATTGTCATTGCAGAGATGTGAACTGCAGTGCACGATGTAAGGCTGGTGTGCCAAATTCTTCAGCAATATGGGTGTGTCTAAAAAAAGGGGAGCCCTGCGACCTCCCCTTAAAACCACTACCAAAAGGGTACCCGGGTACCCTCAAAAGAAGGCACACCCATATGGCTGGAAAAGCTGAGAATCTCGCATTTGGTTTTACATTGGCATGTGGCAGCCTGGCTCAGCATCAGCCAATGTGCACAGACCGCCGAAGACTGGGGCTCCAGACTCTTGGTAAGGGCAAACAATAATGCACAGCTAAGCACATGGTGATTGATCATATTCCGTTCGGCCCCAAAAAGAC